TCCCCCCCCCCCCCCCCCCCCGTTTAGTCTGTGAATAAATATATGTACATGAAAACTTCCCAAAACAATGCAAGTTAAAGAGCGTCCTCCCAAGGTTTCAGACTTGTCGTAGCCCAGACTAAAAGAAGCATTCAGATGAGGTAACATAGGCAGGACAGAATGCCTGACGTTTTTTTAATGTGCATTTTACTTCACTATCGACATAAGTTAGATTCCTTAGGAGCCAGGATTTGATCCCGCCTGTCAGGGCCAATATTGGCTTAGAGGGCTAAAAACCCAGCAGAAAGAAGGAGATTGTAATTCTCCCCACTAGGGGTTCGAATTCGGGTAGCCTGTGTGTGACGGTGAAGCTCCTTACCGCCTGTAAAGTTATACACAATTTAGGATTGTTGTGTGGTTTACTTAGTATACGTTTATAACTCTTCAAGAAGCAAAATGGCAAGTCTCGTGAGCAGCCTTCAGTCTAGTGGTAATTTTCAACTACATATAGGTGGACGGAAGAGGGAAAGAGGTACAAAATAAATATTTTATTTGGCATTTACTCAAATAATAAATGCAATTATATGGTTCGAAATCCGTTTCAACATCAAACGTTTATTTAAAGGGATGGACCTCAAAATTCAATGCCCACCTCCGATAGGACCGAGCCAAACCGGAAAGCCATACAGGCTCCCCAGAACAACCCAATTTCAAGAACAGAGCATTAATTTGGTACTCAAACCAGTATGACTTCAACTGAACCAGAGGGACACAAAGCATCACACAAGTACACTTCAGCAATTACGTTTGTGAGGCAGCGTGGTGGAATCAGGCTCTCGTCAAAATAATCAAAGTGAAGAAACCTGCTTTTTTCAGCAGGTCTGTGAATTTTAATCAAATTTTTGTTTTTTGGCTCAACACCTTTCATGCCAATTAAAGAACTCATTTCTGTGTGGATTTTCCTGAAAAACGTTAATTAAAGGCACAAAATATGGAAATTTTCAGTTACGGACTCTTAAGCTATGGAAATAACTAATCTTTGGCAGCCATTTTCTCACTAACTTTTCCTCTGAAAACAGGTGACCCCTACCTCCTTCATTTACAAATATATCGACTTGTATCCAGGATAAATTGACATTTTTTCTTCCAAATAAAGACAAGTAAACAAGCTTTAAGATGATACCAATAACTCTACATGCCGAAAAATTGACAAGAGCCTGATTCCACCACGCTGCATCACATTTGATTCGACGAGATGGTTGCTACACATCTGTCTGTTAAGGCTACTCTCTACTATATACCCTACCTTCAACCCTCTTGATCACAATCTTTTAAGATGGTAATGCAGGCTTGAAACCCATCTAATTACTTAATGGAACCAAGGATGCCAGCCTGTTTCTGTGATTAGAATTCAGTGAATGTTATATAGGTTTTCTTTAGTTTACAGGTAATTTAGCATTCCTGAGTTCAGAGTACCGCTTTTGTTCACTGAAGTTGTGATTCTTTCGTTCACTTACTATTTATGTAACAGGACGCTTCAATTTCTTAAAAGCATTTTTGCTATATTAAGCCACAGGAAATGTTTTGACTGCTTGTATAGTGGCGTTCTTCTTATTTTGAGTAAATACGTGGAGAATGAAACATAGTGTATGTCGGAACTTGGGAAAATAAATTTGAAGTTGAATACTAGAAGGCACGAAAGCTAGCAGGAGAACTTACTTTAAAATGAGACTTTTTCCTGGGACAATAACTGAAACAAGAATCTGTTCCTTACAGAGACTTTAAGATCTTTAAGATCTCGCTCCAGCAGACCATCAGAACTGAGTTAAGATCCCGGTATGGGTGTCCAGCAAGATACGGCTTTTTCATTGTGTACATACCCCAGTGGCTCACATGATTTCCCAAGGATTCCCTAGACGAGATTGTCTTTTTCGATTTACCATTTCAGTCATCTTATGGGCATTTTGCGTTTCACTTCTCTGGCGTAAATCTCTATCGTTTACACATACCGTGTCTACTGATAAACCAGGTGTCCTTTTTCAGCTGAATCATCTGAAGAAAATAGATAAAGTGCATTCCATGAGAAAAAAGTCCTATCTGATGACGCGAGAAGTCGAATTTAGAGACTGTTTCTGGTTTTAGTTTTAAAAAAAATGTTACAAGCACAATTCCGTGAAGATGTTTGACATCACAGGCGTCAAAGTCAAGGCCCGACAGGCCGCATCCGACCCGGTTAACTATGGCTTTTGGCCAGAGAGATAACTTTAGGTAGACCATCCCGAGAATCTCCATTACACAGAACCTTACTCCAAAGATAAGTGAACTTGTTGCCTAGAGAAAATGCTAAACATAAGGCGGTGACAAATCGACGTAAGAGCGAAAATTAGTATGTCTTGATTTGTTAATATCTGTTTAAATTTGTATCATTGTTTTAAAAAGGTTTAGTTGCCCAGCTCTTAGTAAGTGTTTATCCAATTCGAACTGCAACCTAAAGTGTACTTTGAGTTCGACCCCCCCCCCCAAAGAATCTGTTTTTTTCCTTGCTACCCCA